TGCTATGCCAATAAAGCTATGAAAGGATCACTATAAAAAGCTAGATAAAAATAACTAAATTCATCTAGAGATACAACAGATCAAGAATTTCAAAGGAAATCATGAAAACAAATAGAAAGAAAAAGAGCCTAACAGTATCTGATCTCTACAAAGCAGTAAGTCTCAACTATTTGAACCAGTTTAAAAATGGAAAAGTTGATCAGAATCCCAGATTAGGTATGCAAGATCCACAAGCAAAGGAACATAGTAGCATAATGTTCAATAAACCCAAGGACCTTAACTAGGGAGTTAAAGACTCATTAGCCAACAAAAACTGCTAAGAAAATGCAAAGTGCTCTGGCAGAAATTAGTATTTCACAAAACATAACACAATAAGCTCACAATGGATACAAGACATAGATATAAAAGTTCATATCACAAACAAGACAGAAGTACAGGGAAGAAGATATCTTTCACGATTATAAAGAAGGGAAAGAGTTCTTAACCAAACAAGAGACAGAAAGGTTTGGAGGAGATACAATGTACAACTTGGAATACATAAAATTGAAAAGTTTCTGAGAAACAACATCAATAGAGTTAAAATTAGAAAGGAAAGTTAACTAGGAAAACAGCATTGTAGCAGGTTTCTCTGACAAAGAGGATCAAATAAGATATTTGTACTCCGTAAACTTCAAAGTAATATATAAGTGCTATCTATTATTATTACTATTATTATCATATCCAAGATATATAAAGAACTGATTCACACATATAGAAGCAAAAATTAATCCCTAAATAGACAAATGGTCAGAGGATACTAATAGTCCTTAAAGGAAGAAATCCCAGTTATAGCTATGTGAAAAAATGCTCTAAATCACTAACACTTACAGAGACATTAAATGAAGTGTGAGAGACTTCACAACCATCAAACTGACAAGGGTTACAAAAAAAAGAAAATAGGGGGCAGCTAGGTGGCACAGTGGATAGAGCACCAGCTCTGAAGTGTTAGAAGGACCTGAGTTCAAATCCGGCCTCAGACCCAAACACTTGACACTTACTAGCTGTGTGACCCCTGGGCAAGTCACTTAACCCCAACTGACTAAAAAAAAGGGTGGAGGGGAGAACAACTGTTAGAGGACTGTGGAAAAACAGGCATACAGGGACCGTTGATGAGACTATGAACTGATCCAACAATTTTGGGAAAAAATCTGGAGCTATGTTCCCCAAATTTACTAACTTGTACAGACCTTTTCATTCAATAATACCAGTACTAGGCCTATTCCCCAAAGAAATCAGCCAAAGAGGACAAAAATATTAAAAGCAATACTTCTTTGTAGCAGAGGCCTGAAACCAAAAGAGGTGTCTTATGAATGTAACAGAATATTATTTTAAGCTAAGAAATCACAAATGGAATGGATTAAGAAAACTGCAGAGATTTATATGAATTAATGATGAAGTGAAGTGAGCAAAAAAAATGTTATGAAATGACTACAGTATAATAAAAGAAAAACAATTTCAAAAGACACAAGAATTCTGAAGTAACCAACTACAACTCCAGAGGATAGATGATGGGAAGCATGCTTGTATTTCCTGACAGAAAGGTGATGGACTACAAATAGACAAGTCATGTCTTTTTAGAGATGGCCAATATGCAGACTTGTTTTGCTTGACTATATTTTTAGGGAGGATAACAAATAATTGATCCTCAGCACTCTGGAGACTCGGCAACAAAACCTTGAGGAGTTAGAGGCCTCAACATGCCTATGGTTTGCATTCCTAACTCTTGTCTTATTTTGAGACATGGTTACTCTGTACGTTATTCATATTATTTCTCTACTTTAGTGGAGAGGTTTATGGTACAGTAGGAAGAGGGGTGAATCTGTGATTCTGAGAGAACGAGGTTCTATATACAGTTTTGACAATGACTAGTTGAGGACCACTGACAAGTCACAGAAAATCTCTAATTTAAATTCCCTAGTTATAAAGTGGGAATGATTATAACTATAGAAAAAAATCTCCTGGGGTAGTTGTAAACAGCAAGTAAGTTTATCTATGTTTGATATTTTGCAAATCTTAAAGTAATACATAAACTATTATTATCATCTTCTCTGCATATTGCTAAGATGCCATAACTCAATGTAGCACCCTGCACTAAAACCAAAGACTGTCTTCATGAGTTACAGCAGACAATAAGTTTATCAGGCAATGAGTTACATTGCTCCTCACATGACATACAGTTCATCCCATATGCCATGTCCTTCTAGCTTACCTAGTCCATTGAAACAGGCTTCAAAAGCCCTGGGTTGCCTCCATGCTATGATGAGTAAAACCTAAAGTAAAATTTTAGTCTATGGCAGAGGTATCAGACTCATTGTCTGAACCAGATTATAGTGTAATTGGGAAATGTTTAACCAAAACAAAATAATGAAACAGATGGTGTAAATATGTGGTTTTCTAAGTCAATATGCCGCCCAAAGGGATCCTTTCTATTTGAGTTTGATGCCATTGGTCTACGGCATGTCCTTCATAACCTTGGAAATCCAAACTGATCAGGGTAAACCAAATCCATATAACACAGAAATGTATCTTAAGAAGTCTTCATCTCAAAATTGTAACCTAGTAACAGACTCCCTGACAATCAGAAAAGACTAAAAAGAAGTCAATGACTCCATTAGATGACAAAAAATAACAAAACAAAATCAAATGATTGAAGAAATCTAAGAAAATGTAAGGTATCTTATATCAAAAATAACTAGCCTGGAAGAGACAGAGATCATTTAGGAATCATTTAAGTCATAACCAAAAAAGGAAGTCAGATATCATATTTCAAGAAATCTTGAAAGAAAACTGTCCAGGTCTCCTAGAATCAGAGGGCAAAGTGAAAACAGAAAGAATTCACTGGTCACCTAGAAGAAAGTCCAAAGTAAAAACTCGTAGGAGAGAGACAGACAACATCCAGACCTTCCAGTTCAAAGATAAAAATACTTCAAGTAGCTAGAAAAATTTTGATAATCTTAAAAGGAAAAATGAAAAAGAATAAGGAAAAGGTTACACTAAGGAAGAGATGAGGAATAGAGAGGTAGGGACATATTTCACATAATGTTGGGGCAAAAGTAGAAGTCTATTCAAACATGGAAGGGATAAAAGGAGAGGGTGTCACTTGAACTTCACTTTGGATGGAGGCAAAGTGAAGAAGAAACAGGAAAATAATTTATATTTTAAAACAATATCAAACATTAAAACAACATTGTAAAAACTCACAATTTTGAAAGATTTAACAACAATCAATACAGTGATTAGGCATGATTTCAGAAGATTTAGAAGACCTCTGATTTAGAATCCTGCTTATATCCTGACAAAGAGGTGACTGACTAGTTATGGAGAGGGAGATAAGCATTCCTAGACACGGTCAAACTACGAATGTGTTTTGTTTGACTGTGTTTGTTGTTAGGTTTTTGTTGTTGTTAATCTGCCCTGCTCCACGCTCCCATACCCCATAACTCTAGAGAGGGAAAGCAAAGAGAGCAGAAGTCTGCTAATGGGAAAAAAAAATTTTAATTGCTGGGAAAATTGAAAGGTGAGGAGAAGTCTTTACATCTAAATAAAAAGACTAGAAAGGTTTGGTATAGTGGGACTTCAGACTATATTGAGATCTGTATGACATAATATAAATAATTAAAAAAAGAGAACTGCCTTGGAGGTTAAATAAGAAGATGAGGTAGACAGATAAAACAGAGATTTGGATCAAGGGGACGAGGCGAAAATATGAATAAAGCTACCCTATTCTATCAATAAAATAAGTTTTACTTTCAAAGAAGAACAAAGTTATTTTTCCTTACTTATAAACAAAAAAAAGGATCTGCCAAAAGATCTCCATTTGCAATGGAGTGTACTTTTTCCTTTGGGCTTCAAAGGGGTTAAACTTACTGAACTTGCATAAAGATTTTTTTAAAATTACATCATTCTACCAACCAATAAAAGTTTCCACACCAAATTCTAAGAACACGAAAACTCAGAGTTAAAAAAAAAAACAATCCTATAAAGTTAATTAAAAGGATTTTCATAGCAGCATTTTAAGGGTCAGAATCATTTTCTTGTCTACTGTATTATCAACTAAAAATAATTTTACAAACTCAAGGAACAAAAAATGCAGGAGAGAAGGGAAAGGTTAAAATGGAGACAAGTGAGAAAAAATGAAAAAAGGAGTGAAAATAATGTTTTATCAAGGTCCTATTGTACAATTTCTTCAACTCATCTGTAACTTCTTTACGAAAAAAATCTAAGCACTGAAATATTACTGAAACAAGTTACAAAAAAACCATTTTCTCAATCTACAATTTTGTTCAAAATTTTTAGCACAGTGTATAACATTACGACATACTTATAACTTTTTACATTTTACATAATCATGACTTTCAATGCTCAGAAAGTTCCATTAAAAGAAGCTTTACTGAAATTAAGGAAATGTAACTACTGTATACCTTAATGGAAAGGAAGGTAATATTTCCCCCCCAAAAAACTATGATACTGCAACTTTTAAAAAAACACACAAAAATGTTGAATTACTTCAGTTTCATGAAATATAAACATCTGAATATTTCACATTCATTAACAATAAATCGTGGAACACAGTTGCAAAAGATTTAAAGCACACCGTATATAGGATAAAAAGAATATTACACAGGGGGAGGAATAAAACAAGATAACAGATCTCTACTGTAATGGTTAGTCCTACTGCAAATTCAAGAAAAAAGCCCTCATTTTGTTAACATTCAAAGCTTAATTTTCCACAGCCATATTTTAGAAGGTTATATTTGTTGTAATTAAATTCACTATGAAATACCTACTCATCCAAAAAAAGTCATAGTCTTGCCTACTACCCTGAAGACAAGATATAAAAAGACATGATAGAACAAGTGATTTCTTTAAAGGATCAGTTATAAATAAAGTATCTTTACTCCCCATATGTAACATTCCATATAAGAATAAAAGAATGGATATCCAGCCCTGGAATCTCTTACCTTAAATCTAAGCAACCACTTAATGCATAAATGGAGCAAATAAAAGAGGTAAGGAAAAAAAGCATTGAAAGGTTAGTTGGAACTTCAGGATATGAAGAGAAAGGAAAAAAGAAAGAAAAACAAAGTTAAGCATTCAGCATTAACAAAATAATGTTTCAATAGATCATAGAAAGAGTGGTTTAAAGCAGAATGTGTCATGAACAGGAGATTTTAAAAGATGAAACGATTTAAAAGACACCGCTTAATTCAAAACTTAAAAGTACTCAAGTACATACAAGTTCCCAAACTAACAGAACCACAAATGAAAAATCTGGAGTCCTACAGCACTAAAACTTTATTTTGAGAATTAAAACAAAAAATGAAATCACATCTTATTCACTGAAATTGCAAAGCATAAATTCATTATTTTATGTTCCTATAAGTGCCTCTTCATTATTAAAATTAGGTAGCACTCCAGGTACTCTTACCTGCTTCTGGTCTTTGATAAATCACAAAAGGTTTTCCAAGCTAGATTAAATTTTTATTATGAATTACCTTTCCATAAAATGAAACTGCCTGGCTTGTACCTGGTTTAGTGAATGTTCTTCGTAGAACAACCTAAATGTACTCAGCAAAGCAAAATTCCTGATAACTATAGTAAATTAAAATATTTCTAGAGTTAGGAAGGTCATACTATTTGTTTATTGGGGGGGACAGGAAGTGGGGAGAATCCCTATCTCACCCAAGCTAGAAGTGAATCATCTACTCATGGCCCTATTCCACCACTGATCAGCCTGGGACCTGCTCTGTTTTTCCAACCTATGTCAGTTCACCCCCTTCTTAGGCAGCCTGGTCACCTCTTAATGTTGGAGACTCCCCATATTGATACTGAACTGAACACACGACACCCATGTTCCATTTTCACTTTCTGATTCAAACTAAATGGGAAAAAATTCCATTTAATTTCTAACTAGAATGGTAATCATTTTTGTCCAATTACTAACAAAGATTGCATGAATTATGTTTATCCATAATTGTATGAACTGTATATACAATCCTAAATTTTTATAAAATGAATACGAAATCAATCAAAAAATATTTATTAAGTGACTATCTTAAGCACCGTGCTTTAAGAATACAAAGACAGAGTTCTCTGCTTTTTATTTAATCAATGGTTTTATCTATTGCAAATTCAGAACAAAATGTCCTCATTTTCTCTCACTTTCTTACATTCAGTTAATTTAATTTCAAAGTCACATTTTAGAAGACTACATTTCATGGTGTAATTAAATGATTATAAAATGTTCACTCATCCAAAAAAATGTCATTGTCTTGTCTACTATTTTGAAGACAAGATATAAAAGAACTGATTTCTTTAAAAGACCAAAACATAATAATTCTTCTCTCCCCCTAGGGAACACTCTATATGAGAATAAAGAACAGCTATCTAGCCTTGGAATCTTTTACCTTAAATCTTTACACTGTGAATCAATTATATAAAAGATCTTTAAAAAATCTTAACACTGAAAAATTTTGAATATAAGCTTTCAAGACAGAGGGTCCCTAGTGGCTAGCAGAATGTACGTTGCACAATGTTGTCACTTAATAAAAATGTGTTAAGTAAAACTTCTTGATGGGAGGGACCATGTCCTATCTTTGTTTATATTCTGTACTCCATCCTCATCCTCTACATCTAGTACCAGGTTCTGCATGGTATAGTAGTTCAACTATCTGTTGAACGACTAAATCTATATAAAATATGTAGTTTAATAGTTTTAAATGTTTATATGTCTTTAAGTCAAAATTAGCATAAAAGCAATGCCAATAATTTATCTACCACATGTAGGCTTTTTTAAAAGCCTGGTGCCTAAAAGTTATTTTGAAAAAATTCAAAGTGGTCTTTTATCTACAATTGTTGTTTTTAACAAATGAAGTCAGAAACCTGGCTAATAAATTTTCTAAATGGAGTAAATATGTCAGTCATGTGCTGAATAATTTGTATACTGAAGAATTTAAAATATACAATAGGAAGACTAAGACATTCATATGTCATATCACATGAGTTATTACCATAACAGATTAAAGAAATGCAATTCATGCAAAGAACACCAGTTTTTAATTTGAAAATTTACGTAACCTTAAAGGACAAGCACCAATTAGAAGAAGACAGGTAATAGCAGCAGGAAAGGAATTTTTTACAGCTTTAGCAGAATCAGAACCTGTTAGTATGCTACAATAAGTAAAGAACATAATGTTATATGATCAAGTTGTTTAGTTTCTGGAACTTTCTCAATTACTTTTGACAAACATGGTACATACCTTAACTCCATGCCCAATATCATCTAAAATTGTATAGTCAATAGGTTTTCTAATATAACGAACTGGTCGTTCTAGGTTGGCTGGAGCAATAATTTTATGGGTTCTGGAAGTATTTTTGTTGGTAGTCAAAATACCAATTTCTCTCCTTGCAACTTTCTCTTTATGAATATCGACCGTCTGTAAAATACAATGTGAACAAAACAAAAAATTTCTTTTGTATGTGTGTGTATTATAAATACGCATGCATATCCACAAATATAAAATATACTTATACAATGATTTTATACCAAATGTGAATGTGATAACTTGTTTTGTATTTATTATGCCTCTCCCCCAAATCTCCATGTTGTAAAGTCATCATCACATATAGGTAATGAATTGTGCCTATTTCAGGTCTAGTCAGAACATTCTTTTAAACTGAGAATAATTTTTCTCCACTTAATATTCCCCAATACACATTAAGGTAGCAAATATCAAATGTCACAAAACTTTTAGTCAAATTTTAGCAAATTCCCAATATTCTTCCTACTAGTGATAACATGCTCATTTACTAATAAAATTAATTTAATGTAAGCAGAAAATTTGTCTATATACTACTTCTATTTAAAGATGTATTTTAGTTTAGCAAAGATTCCTATTTTTTAACATAACATTAAGTAGTTTAATAATTTCACTCAAGTATACCAAATACTTCATCAGTTTGTTTCATTTATGAGATACTTACATTATACTTAGGACAGTACAGAACACATTTTTTTAAAGACTTCTTTACCCAAAGATTTAATTTGTTTAATTTCTATGGATGGAATGAGAGAATTAATTTCTAGAAAAGTCATAATTACTAATACGTCCACCCTTTTCATCTATTAAATCTGCTTCTTTTGCCAAGTTACACTCTCTCCTCTGTTGCAATGGCCTCCAACCCAATCCCACTACTTCTTCAGTTGCCACAGCCACTACCCCCACAATTCACTGGAACAAATCAAGATAACACCACCTCCTCAGTGAAATATATAAGATCACTGAATCTTCAATCTGGAGCAAGAAGGGCCCTAACAGGTCGTCTAGTTTAACCCCCTTGTTTTACAGGTGAAGGAGGTGAAAGCTGGTCACTTGCCCAAGGTCTCAAAGGTATTAAGTGGCAGTCACTGTTATAATTCAGGTCCTAGGACTCCAAAATCAGCACTTATCTTCTACAACTAACTGACAATGTTATTTTTTCACAATACAAACCTCCTATATTTTTCCTTTATTCACAATCTTATAAATGAATATTCTCCTTACATAAATAGTATATACTACTGACATGCCTGTCATATATGTCAAAGTCTTTGTGAATTCTTAATCAAGACTAGTATTTACTTAATTCAATCCTATCATAGCACCAAATTAAGATAGAGACTTAAAAGAGCTTTGATGATGATAATTATGATGATTTGGTCAATGTTCAAAAGAATGAAAAGAAAATGCTGGGCACCTTGAGTTATTTTACCTTACTGCTATCACATTCACATATTATATACTGATTATTCCTTTATTAAACTATGAGAAATTTAAAGCTTTGGTTCAAATTTAGGTTTCTAAAATGCTAAAGGGTTATTTTTAACCTCTAAAGAAAACAACTCTTTTTTTATATTCCCCAATGCTACATTTTTGTGGTTTTGCCCCAAGGTGTTACTCTAAACATTAAAGAAGATAAAGCTTTACTGGTAATATCTACATTCACCACCACCATTCCCTCCAAAGAACAAAATAAAACAAAACCAAACATTACTCTGTCGGATATTTCAGAAACATTACAGCAGGCTTTTGAATAATGAAACATTTAAAATGTCTGGATTTTTCTTAATAAATTCTCAGAAAAGCGACTTTCCAACACATACTGTGCCGCTTTACAGAAAAAGGTCTTGACATAAAAAGATGTAACCATATACTCTACAAAGAAAACATAAAGTAACCATACTCATATTATTAAGCAGCCCTCCAAATACAGCATAAATGTTTGTCATTCAGAGGTTAAGCTGTAGCAATAACATCGAAGTCCAAATAAGGTCAAGTCCACTCCCCCCTCAATTCTATATACCCATGTGAATTTCAAAACTAGTAAAGGTACAGACTACCCAACATGAATGTATATTTTAAAATCAAAGATAAATTAACTTCCATGTTTTAAAATCAAAGATTAATAAACTTCTATCTTAACACTTAAGCATTTAATCATTTGGGGGGAGTTTATCTGTTTATTTTATTTATTTATTTATTTTGGTAAGGCAACCGGGGTTAAGTGACTTGCCCAGGATCACACAGCTAGTAAGTGTCAAGTGTCTGAGGCCACATTTGAACTCAGGTCCTCCTGACTCCAAGGCTGGAGCTCTATCCACTGTGCCACCTAGCTGTCCCATCTGCTTATTTTTAAAAGTAAAAATATAGTCTTTAAAGTTTACATTTGGTTAAAAAAGGCCAGTTGCAGAGAAGCCTGACAGCAATGATAGCAGAATACATTTAAGTCTCTCCAACTCTGAAGGAGTTGAGGAATATTTGATAATCAGCAGTTTTTGTCGAATGGTTCTTAGCTAATTGGAACCATTTCATTTAATCATCAGAAATTGAAGGGGTTTTTTTTTCAAGAAAAATCTTATTTATTTCAACTACTCCCCCAAAGATGATGATGATGATGGTGACGATGACAAAAACTAGCATTTCTATAGTGCCTACTATGTGTCAGGCATTGTGCTAAGAGCTTTACAAATATTTCATTTAATCCTCACAACCCTGGGAGCTAGGTGATATTACCATCCCCATTTTACAGTTGAGAAGAATGAGGCAAACAGAGGTTAAATGACTTGCCCAGAGTCATACAACACAATCAAATTAAATACTAAAATTAAATGAAAATAAATAAGTGTAAAACTGCTGCTCTAAAAGAAAAAAGAAATTTCTAAAATAACTATGTCCAAAGTCCATATAAAATCAAGAAAGAAGTATAACATATAGATTGACTCTTAGTAAATTTCTATAGCCAGTTTCTAGAAATATAAATCTTCAGCAAATAATTTCTAGCTGATCTAACTCAGTCATAACACTATAGATAGAAGATAAAGATAGAAAAGATAAATGTTTACACTGATTTAAAACTGTAACATTATATCTTCATGACACTAAATCACTGACATTCTTTGGTCTAATATAAATGATCAAGTAGCCATCAGTTCATGTCACTACTTGACCCATATTTAAATGTACTTCTTTTAAGAATTTATATCTTATAAAATTAGAAGAACCATTTTATTCGACCTACAAATTTTTATATATGAAAAAAGTACCATTAAAATCTTACTGGTTACAATAAAGTCTAAGCTCACACAAATATAACAGCAAACTGAACCCTAAAATACTAGCCCATTGGAAATAATAAATTTTTGTAACACTTCGAGTAAAGAGATTCAAATATTTTTAGCCTTTAAGATTGTAAAACGGAGATGGGCCAAAGCTTTTAGATTGAGATACTGTAATTTACCTTAGAACAACTGCACCCTTTTAAGCTGCTTATTTGTAGAACAGAAAATGTTAATTTAAAACAGCTGATAATTATAAGCTTTTCACATAATTTTTAGTAATTTATAGGCCTGGCTTGGCTTGTTTTTTATTTTGTTTTGTTTTTAACAAACACTTTTGACAGATTATGCATTTCCAGATTTTCAAACAATCAAGCATATTAAAAATGTAACTTATTTGACTGTAAATAAATATAAATTGAGAAAATTAAGGAAAAACATTTGCCTTAAAGAAAAGCTATCAGGCTATATAGCTAGTTGTCAGTTTCAGAGCTATATATAGCTACTCCTACTTTGCAGCTTCATATTACTCTGATTTTACTCTGCCAATAACATAAGGCTCTTGTGTTAAAGTTTTAAGTTTAAAGTTAAAAACTGACCTAGAAGATTTTTAAATCCCTAAAAACTATGATTATAAATTTATCCTTAATTCCTAAAATCAGAAACTTATTCAAAATAAACTCTGCTTCATGTTTAGATCTGATCTACAGATTAGCACACACCTGCGGCAAGTAAAAATATGGGTGGCCAGCAAGCAAAACTGAGCTAGTGCATCACTCCACTGCTACCATTGCCCTCTAAGGGTTCTTGAACATCCCACTGACCAGAAAAGCATGGATGGGACCTTGCTGCAAACGTGCATGATCTCCCACATCCTATTATTTACTGGCCATCTCATCCTTCTGACTGCTGCTGCAAAGCCACTCCACATGCTGCAGGCCCCCCCTCACCCCCAGACTCTCCAACCACACAGTCCCACTCCCAGGCTCCTCCAGGACTCTTCTGGCCAAGGTGGCGTGACCAAACTCTTACCCAGCTCCCGTGCCAGCCTGAGGCTCCACCCCCACCCCAAATACATTTCTCCCCAAAGACCCAAGCACATGCTCAGGCCACAGCAGATGGTAGGAAGGGAGGCTGAAACTATTATTTTAGGATTATCCATGCAATTGTGGTCTCTCATTACCATAGATAATCGAGAGTTGATTGTACTGGATATCACTACCTCAGATAGCTGCCCATCAGTGTGGGAAAAAATCTGCAATCAAACAGGTAGAATGGATTAACTTGACCAGGTTTTGGTTGGTTTTTGTTGTTGTTTTCTTAATCTCTGTCTCAATTTTAGACCAGTAATTTAATTTTAATGTCTAGTGAGTATTTAAATTCAAAAGTATTTCAAATTCTAAATTGTACATCAAGTAAATCAAAATTACTAATAATATGAATATGAAACTGGCAGATTATTCATTTTTGCAAACTTAAAGACACATAAATGAAATTAATTAGGAATTGCATAAATGTACTTTATGTGAATAACAATGTTTATGAAATCTACTCTCACTTTAAAAATGTTGCCACTTTTGCCACCTAGACAAATGTGATAAGTTATGTTAAGTTCACTGGAAGAAGGAGCATGGGTAAGGAGATAAACTTGGCTTTAGAGTCAATAAGACCTAGTTGAAGTCCAACCTCTGACATGTATGTCATTAAACCTTAGTTTCCCCAAGCAACTTTCAAAGACTTAGTTGTAGTATAGCTGAAGAGCTCTCTACCCCAAAGCAATGCCTGGGGTGGGGGGGGGGCAGAGTACGAGAAAAAGGGACAGGGAGAGAACGAGAAGGAAAG